CCTTTCCCAGCCACTCTTTTGCCTTCATTTCTGCTGCCTGTGGAATTCACTTGTGAATTCACGTTTAAAAAAACATTCTCCCTATGATTTTAAAATGTTTCATCTAAATGTTACCAACTAAAGGTTTCAGGAAGTTTTACCTATCTGAATTTTTAGGAAGTTTTAGCTATTTAGAATTCTGTTGCACTACTTCATTTGATGTATTCTCAACTAGCATTCCTTTCTTTCCTGTGGCCCAGCAGCCAAGGCCCTGTGAGATGCAGTGAAAGCAATGCCAGCAGAACTTCAGTTTAGCTGAATTGAAAGTTGGTGATGGGGGGCATTGGGAGTAATCTGGGGGGAGATGTGTCTAAACTGCCAATCTAGTCAATACTATTTTTGGTATGTTCGTGTTATCTTACAGTTGAAAGTTAAAAGCCCCACCCCCTTTTTTTTTGTGTTCCTGTAACATTAAATTCACTGGCTTTTATCCAAACAGAAGATACATCCTGAGAACATCATGCTCTTGGGAGTTCAGTAATTGACAATTAGAATGATTTTTTTTTTTTTTCCCCCCTAGGTACTGTGGCCTTGATACCAACTTGTTAACTTGAATTGTAGTGGTGGGATTCATGGTGACCAACACAGCATTCGTTATCATGCACCCATCAAACTTCCTCAGAATCCAACAGCAGCCTTAGCTGGGAGAAGATAGCGCATGCTGGAGCAGCCTATTGAGTAGCTTTAGTTTTATACTTTATTTTAACCTAAACCTCGGCATCTGTCGCATATGAATGCGGCACCTTCAGTGATGGCTGTTTCTCAGGAGAGCTGTACCAGAACCATTTGCAAATGTGGCATGCGCTGTGGGATTATCAAGTCATGTTTCTGTGATACCATCCGCAAAAACACCAAGGAGCTTTACTGAGGATTTTAAGGTATGTGTTCAAAACCTATACTAATTTTGCATTAAGTTTTTGTACCCCTGTTGTTCCAACGGACTTTCATTCTAAAGGTTGTCAGGCTATTACCCATATAAAGAAATGATTTCCCACTTAACTATGAAAGCATCTTGATGTATATCTAAATTCTTGTTGATAGGATGAAACATTGTCATTTCTAATGTATGTGTCACTCTTAATTACTATTCAGATTCAGTATCATGCCATGACTTGCTCTATATAGATGTCCTGGAATTTCAGGTATCTGGTGGCTTCAGACCACAAATGTGGCCAACCTCACAAATGTGAGGCCAACTGCAAAACACGTAAGCAGATACTAAACCCTTCAAATGCTAGCTGACCAGATCATATTTGGACACTTCATGATTTCAAAATAAATTCTTCCACCAGGAAAACAACAAACATGCAGTGTATGAAACTGAGCTCCAGAACTCTGCTGCCCTTACCAGAACCAACACTTACACTGCAGATGGATATCCCTTAATTATCAATAGGTATAGTAATGCGTATACATGATAATGGTATTCTCATCACTGGCATAGTGAAGAGATGCTCCCATCTGTTGAAGATATTTTACTTTATCCTGTGGAGAGACAGAATGCAGGTGTGAAATTGCCTGTTGTGTCACATACGCGTGTATGTCCCTTGTACATTATTTCACACTATGGGAAAGCTGGTACCTTTTTCTTCTGAGATTGCTTTGAAATTTGTCACATTTGGAATAATCCGTACAGCACTTGAGTTTGAGGGACATCAGTCTTACTGGTGCCTGAAACTTCCATGGAAAATAATTCTAAGTTCTTCCTTTGTAATTAGCAAATATGGTTAATATGCTCTTTGCTGGACATATTAAATGGAATATAGCGCATGGTAAATTGGAGTGATGAAAAGAGAGGGGCACTGCTTATTAGTGGTGGATGCTTCCAAGTGTTTTGACTACAACCCGAGGCAGGTTTTCCAAGATCTTTGGCCTTGAAAATGTTTTCTGTGGCTCCTTCTGCCCCCCTGTAAAACTAGTTCCATGGTACCTTGCTGTCTAGTAGCAACACCACCACTGCCCAGTAAAATGGCTAAGTTTATTTGAACAGACCAGTAAAATGTTAGATGCCATCTTCCATGAACTACACTTATGCCCTAGCTATCTTACATGAGTATGAATCAGTCTAAATTCCTAAGCTAGTGTTCAGTAGAGTAGTCAGATCAGGATCTGATGGTCGTAAGGTTATTTCTAACCTCATGTCACACCACCCTACTGTTCTGCTTGCCTTTGGGTGGCTAAGGCCTATTAGTCCCTCCATACAGGGACTAGGAGTTCTGCCATTAACTTCACTGGGATCAAGATCAACTTCTGCACTGCAAATAGCAAAGCATTATGCAACTATTGTAAGATACTTGTGTAAGTGTAATTAGATCAGGATGAGCTGTATTCTCCTTTCCTCAGAGAGTTATGTAGGGTACCTTGATTGGAATAGGAGACAGATTTAAACTGATTAAATCATTAAATGGAAATATAAGACAATGAGCATTAGCCACTTAGTTCATTTCATAAATTCTAATAATTAAAACTGCATGTGCAATAATAATGGCTATTCCAGATACCTAAGTAAGAAAAATGCACCTTTGATATGTTGTGGCATAGGCATAATGAAAACATTTAGTTAATGGAGGATCTATGTAATAAGAGTTACCATACAGAACCTGCAGTTGGAAATATATAAACACGTTTCCCAACAGAATTTTACTACGTCACAATTCATTATGGAAATTGGCAATAACTGACAAGATAGGCACAAAATGGATTTTCATGTTGCTGGAATGAAGTATGGCTCCCAGCAATTAATGGTTTTAGTCATATTAAGCAGATAAATAATCCTATCTGACATTACAGTATTTCACATTACACTAAAATTTTGTAACGTTTGCTCGTAATATGACTTGAAATATGCTACCTAGGAAAAAAAATGTTATCTCTGGAACAGTCAAACCCCATTAGAAACCTTAGGCTTGAAAAATCACAATGTTAACAGTTATATCCCCTAGCAAAGGTTTGCTTTCCTTAAATAGTGTTAAATTTAAACCCAGAAGCTCTAGTCTCTTTTGGAGTTACTCTTCCTTAGTGCATTGAGCTTGAAAGGAAAATTTAGTGCACAAAATATACTGTACATTACTGAATGTTGGTTTCACTATGAAGAGCTGCAGAAAGAGGGTAGCCTTTAGAATGAAATCACTTCAGTGATACCTACGTTCTCTTAAAAACATTTCTATATTCTGGTTTATAAAAAAGCTCCTAATATTAATATGACCCCGTCACTCTTACAAGGATTGATAAATAATTTGATTATTTTAAATTTCATTCTAGCTCACGTTTGCCTTTTTCATAGCTGGATATAGTCTACCTGAGTACCATTCTTTTTCTAAAAAAAAAAGTTACCACAAAAATACTATTTTAGCATTGTTACTCACGTAAGTATGGTTTTATACTGGAAAATGCCCAGTGTGTTCCAAGCATTAATAGAAATCAAGAACAAACACAGGAACATTTCTCTCTCATTTGATGCTAATTCTATTCCAAATTCACTGAGTAATGTGGAAGAAAATGTGATTGCTTGTCAAAGCTCAGATGCAGTTTTTTGTTGGGACAAACACAGTGGATTTGGAAGTGTCATGTTTAGCTGAAGGCAACGATGCTTAGTGTCTCAGCACCCAACTCCCACTGAATTTCAACAAGAGTTAGCAAACAACCTTCCCTTAGGCTCCAGTGAAAATCCTTGGCTGAAGTATCCAGTCTGAGCTGCAGTTTCACTTGCAGGAAATGAGCTTTTTTTGAGGTCTTTTAAGGTACAGTTTCCTGAAACAGCAGATGATCTAAGCGCAGAGAGAGTACTACAATTCTGTTGCTAAAATATAAAAATGTTAAAATTTAGTATGAAAGGACTACTTAAAAAAAAAAAAGTTCTCAAGATTGTTAGGATTATTGAATACAATAAACCTTTCCAAATCCAAGTCATAAACAAAACAGATAATCTTTTACATGTGCCAAGATACAATTTTTATTGCTTCTCAGATAACACTGCATTTAGGCATTTATTTAACTTGAGGGTACTGGAAGAACAAAACCAGTTCGCTTATGTCTTATGACATTTGTCCTACTGTACGTTAGCAGAAGAGGTAGGGACTTTTCAGAGATACTGCTGGCAATGTCATAAGAAGTGCACACCAAAAGCTTAGTAATTGTGCCAGCAAGAACAGATAATCTCTGCCAGACTCTGATATCTAGATTGAATTGTCTTCAGTTAGGATATAAAATATTTCACCACAGTTCTTATATGACCTTATAAAAATTACACAGTTCTGCACTGTCTCATGATTTTCACAGATTTCTTAAATTGCTGAAGTATATCACAACCTGGGAGTCTCAAAGCTCCTCTCTAGATGGTTGTGTGATAACCAGTGTGTGATGCTGTCCACCAAACCTTCAAGGAACCTCCAAGTGAGCTGTGTTGTAGAGCCCTAATCTCCTACTATTGTTGCTCAGAACAGATTCTAGTGATTGCAACTATGTACATTGGACTTATTTCTAGCTTGTGCTGCAGGAGCTGCCAATGACCCAGTGCTTTGGGAACTACTGGCTTTTAAAAGCTCGGTTCCTGCTTTCACATCATCTCTCTGTGCTAGTCTGTGTTAGTGTTATTGCACCTTCCTAGTATCAAAAAGAAGTATTGGTTTTATTGTGCTTATTTTAAACCAGTTCATTTAAAAACAACCAAACTTAGAAAAGTTGGGTATATAAAAATATACATGTAATAGCTCACATTATACAGTAAAGAAGAAAGCACCTGTGTGGAAAGCTTACCGCTTTCTTTAGAAGGAAAGCTGTCTTCGTGTAGTTGCTTCAGTAACGTATATACATACAAAACCAGAACTTTAGCCACATAAACCTGTCTTCTTATGTGGTACAGATGGCCCAGAGGGGTGATATGTCTCATTCTTTCTCTATCACAGAACTGCTGCCATTCACACTGTGTGAACAAGACTATGGCTTGGGTAAAGTGCGAAAAGCGTGAGAGAAATGTGGTATAATTCCTCCCAGGAAACAGCATAACCTGGGAGGTAACAATTGTACGTTATTCTGTTGTCAGGAGGAGCAGCTGTCACTATGAACTCTACAACCCTCGCTGAGGAATGCCAGCACAGGGTGATGGGCCATGTGTGTGGTGTCTGCACTGTGATGGGGGTTGGAGAGAAGGGCCAGTTGTACATGTTGCACTGGTAAAGCCATGAGCCAGAGGGCTGCTGGATACCTTCTTCAGTACCTCTGGCCCAAACTGGGAGAGAAAAAGTGTGGAGAAAAAGGTTGTGGATCTTGTTGTGTCCAACCTTTTCTCTGGATAGGAGGATCAAAGTATAAATTGTTACATGCTATTAAAATACATGGCTAAATAACTTAGTCTGTTTAAACATTAGGTTTCTTTCTAATCCTACCTGCATTTCACTATAGTAAAAACGGGTATTTGAAGAAAATATTTAACTATTAAAGATCCTTGCAATTATGTTTTAGAAGTGCCTTTTCCAGATCAGGCTCTAATCTATGACTGAAAGTTACCTTCTTATGTTTTCAAAAATAAAACTGTAGTAATTAGATACTGTATTTAACCATGTGAAAAGAGTAAAAAGCTATTTCTACGCAGTTTCTGAGGTAATAAGCTGGCATGTTAAAAATATATTAATGCATATCATTTGGTTGTGAGTCTGTCTCATCTGTCTTCCCCAAAAAGAGGGGATGGACACGGTGATTTCAGTGAAGTGGAGAAAAGGTCTGTAGCATACTGGTTGGTACACTGTATCATAGCTCATCATGGTTTCTTGTGAGGTCCTCCCCGTAATTAGTAGCTTGACTTCCAACGAACATATTCCAATTGTCTAGAACCTCCTCTTTCGTTAGTTTCTGATCCTGGTGGGAGGAAAATAAAATCTCTGTAAGAACATTTTCAAAGCTAAGTAAAAGACACACCAGCGCAGACTTACAAGAGCCCTGGGAAATAGACAGTTCTTCAGAGCAGCAGACAGCAGGTTTGGGAATCATTGCAGCTGTCATGGTGAGTGAAATTTGAACACCGGTGGAAGACAGAAGTCCCACTGGCTTCAGCTGGGTCAAACTGCTGACTTAGTTCTTTATAATTAACTCTCTGCCAAACAGTATGCAGGTTATCTGGTATGTAGTTTTGTCCTGTGTTTTGGTTTTACCTTCCTAACAGTAAAAATGAAAATCCTCTGGGGTATTTTGTGGAAGATGGTTGCTTACGTTAGCAATTTACACACTCTCTGTGTAAGAGTGTTTTCGTTTTTCAGGTTCCAGCTTTGCTCACATTACACTTTGGAAGATCACCCTCTGGGATCTAATGAACCATTAATCTCCCATATTAGAGGAAGTGGACTCATTGAGCCAGTCTGTAAGTCAAAGATGTGTGTTTGATTATAGAAATTTTGCTACCTCCTAGATAACACACCACCTTATACAACTTTAAAAAAATATATACTAGAACACTAAGTACCTTGTCTACATCCGATTCATAGACTAAGTGCCTGGCTTCAGCTAGTGCATGATCATAGTCTTGAGGGAGAATCCAGTGCTGAATCTCCTCTTTGTCCATCTTTCCATCCTTGTTGAGGTCACGAAAATCTGAGAACTGCTCACGCTCTGTAATCACCCAGTCAGGCTCTGGTCCACCCTCTTCATTTGCAAACATATCAGCTAGAAAGGAAATAAAGGTCTCACTCAAGTCATATTTAATTTGCAAATTATGCACAAACTAAAGACATTTGCACAGTTTTCCTCAGAGGAAGACTAAACTTTTCACTCTTTGCACAGTGTTTCTTTGTACAGAAAACCAAATGCAGGGTGTAAATAGAGTAGCTGCGTGTATCTTCCCTCGGGCCTATTTCTTCACTGCTGGTGATTCTGTCCATTCTTACATTACCCTTGTATCATAACTGTGTGCTGCTGGTGAGGCTAACAGAGAGATGAACCTATCCAAAGGCCATCATCCACTGAATTTCCAAATGAAAAAAATTCTTTAAGGATCTTAGCTAAATAGCAAACATAAGCTTTAGTGCTGGGCTCAGTCACATGGGGAGAAAGGAACTTGGCATTTTTATCTTGTCCCTGTCAGCAAATGTCTTTGTGGATAAGATCAGACTCCAGCCAGCAGAGTGGTTAAGGCAAAAAAGGCACAGAGGAAATTTAGGAAAACAAAAATTGATAAATGGCACTTGAATGCTTTTGTCCTGCTTTTAGAGAGGTCTGTTTAAGAGAAATTCATCTCAGTAGATGAGTCCTTTTTCAAGCATACAGTGCTGCAGCACACTCCAGTAGAAGGTATTCTTCTACAAAGAAAGTCCTGGAGAAGTCATTGTGAATCTGTGGTGCATTCTATGTGAGGAACCACAAGCACTGCACTGTTCGTAGATCAGTACCTTGGGATGCAGTACCATTTGTGACAGGATGCACAGATTACATACATGAGCTGCTCTGTACATCAGTCCTGTGCTATATTTAAGAAGCATCAGTAGGAAAATGCCACGGTGGCAGCATGTAGAGTCTGTGTAGAATGGGGAGAGTAGCAGCAATTATTAAAAGCAAGTGATTTGTTTCTGTTCTTTATAGCATAAGCCTTCCAAATTATGAATAGTGTATCTGCTTTACTCTTCCGGTCACTGTGGCAAATCATTTCCTGCTCATCAGGGCTGTTTATTTCTCAAGCCTTCCACTTTTCTGTTTACAATTAAAGCCTGCTTTGTGATACTATACCCACGCCTTTTGGGTTTGGTTTTCAAGGATGTGCTAAGGAAAAGTGCACCCCATGTGGATGGTCTCAGGGCCAGGGGCTGGCTGTTATCTATAGCAAGTATAAAAGCTGATCTCAAAGCTAGGTATAACTTTAACCCCAGCCTGCAGTGTGAGTGTATACACTAGGCTGAAGTTCTCTAGTGGTGGAACTGTCCACGGTGTCCCTGAAATACTCTGCTACCTGCTCATGCACAACATGAATTTAGTTCCCTCTGCTTAACATGACTAGGGATGTTTTTCTTCACTGCTTGTGTAAAATCTAAACCAAATTTTGTAAGAGACAAAATAAGAGGAAGGAAGGCAGAGGAAGGAAGAATCATTCTATAACCTTCAGGAGATTTCTCCATCAAATACCTCATCTACAGACTGCAATTTTTGGACTTCTTGTTGTTGTTCCTTATAAACTACCAAAGAAGATATTTGGTTTTCTGTTTGTTTTTTAACCCCAGCTTGATCAGAAATAAAAAAAAAAATTGTATCTGAAAAAGGAAGCACGAATATTTTAAGCAGTTTTCCTCAACTCATGAAGAAAACTTCAGACAACACATTCACTTTCTTTTTTCATTTTATAAAGTGCAAATTATATTGTTTATTTGAAGCAACTGACATGTCCTGTCAATTTGATTTTTATCATCCTTGCCAATGTGGGGTGATCGTGACTAGAACATTCTATGTTCCTATCTATAGAAGACAAGAAAAACCAGCATTCACATGGTAACAAATGTTGACAATTACCTTGTAATTATATGTAGGTAATGTCACTGAATGAACTGAAATTACTGTGGAAATTATGCTGCTCTGTTATTTCAGTCATAAATGAATAGCATTCACATTCTGAGGCTAAATATAATTTACAAGGAATAGAACCCCCCCCTGCCATTAATTAACGTGTATATTGTTCCTGATTATATGCGAAGTGATCTTTATAGCACCACTAGAAACAGAAAGATGCATCTGAGTTTGCATCAATGCTTTCCTGGTGCTACTTTCTTGATTTGAAACCCATCAAAGTGAGTTCAGTGGGAGAAGTTAGCTTTTGGTATCAGCATAATGATTCAAAAGGATAAAATGTATTATGTATTGCTGATCTCTAGTCCTGGTTCCATTTAGTCGTCCTAGGTCTAAGTGCAAGACAGCAGCTAACTGCCTAGTCTGACTGAAATTTGTGCAAATTAACTGTGACTGATCTGTTGTTGATGTTTCCCATTTTGCTCTCTTTCTGCCACTGAAGTAACACACAGCTGACATTCACACACTTCACAACTTCTTTGAGAATCTTAAATCTTAGTGCTATTTTTACACAGTTCGTTTTTAATGCATCCTATATTTCTAGAAGAAACATAATGGCATCACCATACAAATTAGAGAAGTATGGGTTCTTACTTACTAATTAAATTACGAAAATAACTAGTAGAAAAAAGGTGAATTTTCTTTTTTGCAGTGTGTGCTTCCCAGCTATTTTGCATAGTCAAGGACCATTCCAACTTGGGAAGAGACTAATTCACTTTCTGATCCTCCTGCATTTCTAAACAGTGCTTTCAAAAAGCTGTTAATGTGGTCAAGTATACAGAGAGTATTCCTGTCATGAAAAATATTATTCCAGACCCTCTTAGCCAAATTTTATATATATATGTATACATTATATATACTAAGAGGAGGACCTTATGCTGTAAAGTGTGAGGAACTTTTTGCTGGTCATGTTGCTATCTGGCTAAAATGAAATAAAACTTTCTGGATTGGATAGTTGGTCTAAAATAGTTGAACTGGAGCATGGAAACATTCATCTTTGGGTTGTTAATACTGCTGCGAATTTGAAAGATGATGGACAAATGGACTGGAGATTATATAAGAAACAAACCTCAACACTTACCAATGTACTCATCTTGATCCACAAAACCATCCTCATTTTTGTCTATGTCTTCCAAGGTTTCCTGGAAAATAGTGTTGCATTGAAGTAATCAAGAGAGAACTGAGAATTCTGGCTACTCGCCTCTTCGATCATTTAATGTTTGAGGCCTTGACTTGACCTTGTACGTGGGCAAATGTACTCTCACCGATTCCAATGTGAGAGTTGTTTATATAATAAATATACAAATATCCTTTCATGTTGAAAAAATTGCCTGCACATGAATGAACTGGACACCACACTTAAGTTTTAAGTTAGGGGCAGATACACGCTTGCATCAAGCACTTAGCTGCTGCATGCCAGCACACCCTTCCTTTCATTTTAGTGTTAAGTCCATGCCCAAGACTGTTTCTTGATTCCATTTATGAGCTGTCTAAGTGCATTTAACAAGTCTTTCTCATACTGAGAGCTCTAAATCAAGTGAATTTCATTAAAGGCATCCCTTTCTGTTCTCCACTTGACAATTATGTGTGTCTCTTTCTAAACCTTACATGGAAAAGTTAGAGAAGCATTTCAAAGCTCATCCAAAAAAATAAAAGTAAAATCAAAGGCATTGGTTTTGCTCTGCTTACTAAGACAACAATGTTTTTCATATGCTCAAACTCCTCTGGGTGAAGGAAAGCAGTGAATTCTTCACGAGTGGCAGCTAAGTCTCCATCCAGATCGGCAGTTTTGAATCGTCTCTCATCTCTGGGCAGCATTTTTTTAAAACTGTGCTGATCAGTTGCATCTTGGAATTCTTCTGGATTTTCTGCAAATTAATCAAGATCTCAAAACTATGTTCTTTTTAAAACATATTACCACAACCCAGTACTCCAATATGCTGTTAGAGTCTAGAAATACAAAGGCTTATTGCTAGAATAGGTGCTGTTTTAAAATGGAACCACTCTTCCCTGTGAAGTTTTAAATTCAGGAGTCAAGCACTTTGTTTGATTTTTAAAGGTGACTCAGTAGTATAGGTAAATGTCTGAGTAAGCCTTCTGTTGGAATCCAGGATAACGGATTTTGCAGTATTATGTATCATCCTTCATAGATTTTTTTTTTTTTTTTAAATCTGCTTTTACAAGCTCTGCTTAAGCAGTATTTGGGGTAGATTTCATTCATAGAAGTTTTATTCTTCTTAGGAATCAGTATAAGCTACACAACTTTGCAGTTTCAAAAAGCAAGTAAACCAAAGGAAAGTGGTTTCAGAAGCTGGCAGATTGACTGAAATTATCTGCTATGCCTCTGCTACAGGGAACCTAACAATTATTTTCAGTTTAAAACAATTAGATTTTTTTTCAGGGTGTTCAGTGGCATTAAGCATTAAGTATTTGATATACTTATTTATATACTTTTTAAACTTTATACTTATACTTTTTAAAACAGGATTACTAAACTGACTTCAAACATGAAAAATACTCATAACAAGTTCAAAATTTGCATACTGGGAGACTAACACAGTTGAAAAAGACTAGGCCAGGAATCACAGATGGGAATTTTAAGTGTGCATTAACACAAGCGCACAATGTGGTAGCTGTTCTCCAAATCTTAGGGATTACAGAGAGAAAAGACAAAGAACTGAGAAGGGGTCCCAGGGATACTGCTGCGGGGACGGTGTGTCAAATATTTCTTTCCACAAATAAACTCCATTTTAATCTAAGGCAGACTTTGGAATTATTACTGCTACTGGAAGCTTGCTCCAGAAACTGCCTCTATGGTAGGTAGATACTGTCTTCTCATTTCCAGTATAAATGGTCAATTAATACCAATTTGTTGTTCTGTCAGCATTGCCCTTTAGCTTAAGTGATCTCCTCCTTTCCTTTCATTAACTTACAAAAAACAAAGGGAATATATGTGGGGGAAAAAAGATTGAGGTGTATTTTTTAATACATGTTTCTTTTGCCTGATTTGTTAAGGACTTTCATTTGCAGTTGATCACAGTCTGAAGCATGTTATTCTGCAAGAACTATTTTAATCAATAACTTAGATATAGCTTAGACCCATCCGAATGTTTTAGCATCTAGAACATTAAGAGTTTAGAGAGACTAAATTAACAAATACTGGTTAATTACACAATACATTATTTTTTAATTAAAGTACCATTTTTAATATTAAATAGATATGTTTTTTTCTAGCCGGAGAAGACTTGAATTCAGCTTTGCCCATACGTTTAATAATCCCTCTACAAAACCTTCCGTGTTCTGGTGACCCATGTGGAAATGGCTGCAATAAACAACTAAGAAGTGCTTTTGACCTCTGAGCATCTATAAAATTTAATGCGATTTTCAAGTGTCCTAAATGTGACACCAAACTTCTGTTGACTGTGAGGCATAAAATCATGCCTTAAAATCTCAATAGTCTTTGAGCATATAATGTGAAAATGTTATCTTACCTAGATAATAACCATATGTGGCTTGTTTGTATTCTTCCCAGGCAATTTTATTGTCCTTGTTTAGATCGTAGTCTTTCCAAACCTTAGCGACGTTTTCGTAGATATAGCGTTTCTGTACCCGTTTAATCCAGTTTTTTAATTCCTCTGTTGTGAGATAGCCATCTTTGTCGTCATCTATTCTGTCCACAATTTTCCTGTAAGAAAAGACCAGTATCCTTAGGACTTGACAGAAAAACAAACTACATGTCAGTCCAGTTTTAGTAATCTTTATCTGGCCCTGGTTTTCCACAAAAACGTGATGCCTAAAACTTATAAAGCTGCCCTACTGGCTAAGGCTTTCTTGCATTTTGCAGATTATTTTAAGGGATATGTCTCTTAATTATTCAGTATTGCTATGAATAATTGAAATGGAACTCGCACGATCAAAATTAGCGAACAAAGTACCTCAGATAATACCTGCCTGGATTTCTAAGGTTGTAGCTACTAACTTAGGGGGACCTGTTCTTCACTGTTGACAGGGAGTGGCCATGCTGGGCTCAGAGTAGGAGGCACTAACTTCACCTCAGGAGAAAGCCCATACTACAGCTTGCTGGAGGCAACCAGGGCAAAAAGCTAGAATTTTGTGGACACCTGCAGTTTCTCCTGTAGCTTTCCAGCAGACTGACGCTAGGGTGGAGTAAGTTATATGACTGTATAATGCCAGGCATGTACACCACGTACAGTCTTCCTTTCATTACTGTTCTTCCACTTGTTTGTTTCTTTCTCTCCCAGCAAAATGCAGTGTTGCCAGGATTGCCTGTTACTAGCTAAAGCAATAGCTAGTCAGCAGCAGGTCTCCAGTCACTGCTGGCAGCTGGGCTATAAGTGAGTGTCCTGTGTAAAGCTGCTAGCCTCAAGTCCTGTTGAAATCGGGAGTTGAAGGTACTGGTGTACTTCCAGGGAAACTTCCATCTTTGAAAAGTTCTGCATAGAGCCGCAGATGAAATTGACCTGAAAAACTATGTTAAAAAAAAGAGGCAAGGCTCTCCTCTACCATTTAGGTTGTCTGCAGTAAATCCCTCAAAGCATGCCTGTAATTGCTAAACGCCACCAGTTTGAGTTAAAGCTTGTAAAACTGGCTTCTGTCCCAGCTGCAGTGGTAGACGATAAAAATCTTTATGTAAAATAAGAATGCAGCTTTAATCCCACAACTTGTAGGTAAGCTTGTCATAGTATTGTTATATTCTGGGCACTGGCCTGTGGGAAACTACATACTCTGCTCTTGGAACTGGGGCAGTTAGCACCATGTCTCTTCTGAACATCCAAACTGGCTTTAGGCACATCAGCTGTTTTATCCCTTGTAGCACTGCTCATGAGGTACAGGAGCAAAGTGCCTGTAGCTGCACTGCACCTAGTTCAGTGACCACCCAGTGGCCAACTCGAGATAACCTGAATGACCATTCCCCATAGGCTCAGTCACCACGCCTGCGGACTACTTATATGCCAGTTGTATGAAGGGGTAAGAACAGGAGTTGACTTCTCTAAATCCTGACTTGAGATTCAACAAGTGAGTTCCCTAAACCTCCAGGCAGCCAAAGGACACATGGAAAAGTTCTGCACTTTTAAATATTCTTTGCAATTCAACATCTTTGTTCTCCACAAAGAAACCGACCCTGGCCAACTGGAACTGCTCAACTAGCGAAGCAGTGTCTTTTACCAAGCCTTATTTAGGAAAGTGGTCAGTAGAGTCAAATAACAGCAGCAGCTTCTGCTGAACTTCCAGCGATCTCGTGCGAGTCCGATAGTATCAGACTGAATTTATAAACATGCTATTTCTGAGCTAGGAAAAAGGTGCTGGTGAATTTGCTTTCTGAAGTAGTAAAGTATGAATTAACTGAATGAAAAACCTTTTCTCTTTTGTATAAATCTCAGGGCAATTGACTGCCAAGGGTCCCTTCCACTGCACGATGGACTGTATTTGTCAATAGATTTGCCCCATGTTGAATTTGATTTAATGGTTTATCTGATATTTCCTTCTATTGTTAAACGTATTAGTTATAATAAATGATTCTGCTAGCAGCTCTTTGGTATTTTTAACACAACAGGTCAGGACTGTTTACTAGAAAATGTTTCATGCCTCTTCCTCTTCACTTGTACCCTTGTTTTTATAGGTTCGTTGCATTCATGTGCACTATTTCTCTCTGCTTCCCAGTTGAAGATGGGGACAAAGAAGTAGTCTTGCCTACAGGCTCCCAAAGTTACAGGTAAGAAGCTATTGTATGGACCGCAGACCTCACTTTTTATACTTATAATTATCTGCAAAAGGAGTGAGGATCATTCTAAGTTTTGTAGAGGAGCTAATGTACATTGATCAGTCTGAAAAGCCTTAGTGCCTTTATTTTAAATAGTTAATTCTTGAATGCAGAAAAAAATCAAGCAGCATGTTAACAGACACAAAATGCCGACTCCTACACAGGAATTTACATACACAAGTGTGCAATACCTGCATGCTTACCTTCTCCCTTTAACTTAGGTGGGATTACAGTCAGAATTCGTTTCGCACCTCATAATAAAGAAGACAGAGGGCAACAGGTACATATGACCTGCCATTACAGAGATTTAAGCTGCCAGTCTGTGAAGACATGGTGGGGTGATGAAGCAAAGTCAGGGCAAGGAAATCATTGCTACGACGAGGCTGAAAGAGGAAGGCCTCCCCTCTATGCCTGATGTGAGTACAGCTGTATGCTATAAACTCTGGCCTTGGCCTGTATAAAGAACAGGAACATGTATATCATGAGGATCCATGACCATCTTCTCTGTTCTCTGAAAATGACAGGCCCATCACAAATGGCAGGGGAAAGTGCAGAGGACTGCAGCCCCACCCCCTCCTCCTTAGCCCATCTCCAGCCCCTTAATACAGTCCTTGGATGCTGCACCAGGATTGTCATGCCTCTCCAAAGCTAGGTGAGTTGTGGTACTGCACATGGGTGGGACACGTGTGATTCTTCCCATGGGAGGACAGGGAGAAGGGATGCCCCTGTCATGGAATCTGTCATAAGGGCAGGTGCACTCCCAGGGCATGATATGATTACTGTCTGGTATGTGCCACAATCTCAAACCCAGATCATACTGTGCAGCTGCTCCTCCTCTGAGGCTGCAGGCAGTTGAGTTTGCAGGGCATTTTCTGAATACTAGCTAGTTCCTTTTTGTTTGCTCAAAGGTGAGAGTAGCCGTGCATTACTGCTGTCTAGCCCTGGGATTCCAATCCCAGCATTGGTTATTGGGATAACCAACGTGCTGGCACCCTTCCTAAGCAAGGTAAAACGACTTACAAATGCAGCAGCATGCACTTTGGTTACAGCAGCAGACTGTACGTTCCTGAGTCTTCTCCCAGAAAGCCAATCACTTGCTGAGAACTGACACTATTTGTAACCCTCACTGAAGAGGCTGCCCATAACAAAACTGTTTTTCTTAGTATATCTGATTATTAAACCACAATAAAAAGAGGAAAGTGAAATGTTTTAAAAATCACTTCTCTACCTCCTAGTACGGTATCTGAAATTACAAGGTCAGGAAATGCTGAAAGTTATGAAACTGTCCCACAGGGCCCCCCAGGAATTACATCTTTGATGTTCTGCTGCACAATGCTCACACCACAATGTGGGCTTTGGTCCTCAGAGGGACGCTTTAGCCACCTCCACTTAAAACGTTATTGACTGTGGCTGTAGCTTAACATGCCTGTGTCACCTCTCCAAGGTGCATGCAGTGAGATGGCTTAAAGTTAAGCTTCCTCCCTTGCTGAGTTAGCATTTGTGAAAACTGTTTAAAACCAACTCTATTTTTAAATCATATCCCCAACCGAAATATCTGTAGTCATGTAAGCGTAGACTAATTTTAGAAAGGCACATCCATTTTAGTGATATGCTTTATGAGAATGTAAGTAATAGATTATGTATGCTGAAAACGCGGTTTCTTTTGCTCCTCCTTGAAACAATGTGGATGAAATTGGCTATTTCTGATAACCAATTTATCTGTTTACTCACTGAGATACAGGTAAATAGCAGAGACAGCTTTCAGAAGGATCAAGAAGTCAGTCCGTGAGGTAACAGCGATCTGCACTAAGAGCTTATGGTGGAACTAGACAGACATACAATGAGTAAGCACCACTCCCTATGGGAGTAAAAGCAAAGCTAATCTTAGTGAGAACGTGGAAATAATTTAAACTATTCTGTCATTAGTAAATACATAAAAGGATCTTTCTTTAACTACTGTTAAACTTAAGTTCTAATTAGTGATCTGACTCCTTGTAGGTGTAAAGGAGAGAGAAGAAGTTAAATAAGGCAACTGTTGCACTGACTCTGCCATGAACTGCAGTGTGGAAGCAAGAGCAACACTGTAAGATAAAGACAAGCAGGCAAAGATGTCACAAGTGGAGAAGCTGTGGGAAGATGGCTTCAAGCAGATTTGTTAAGAGGAGTTGTGAAGAAGGAATGGTTTAAACTTGATTGAAACTAATCTGGTCCAGGCAAGTGACCGAGGTAAGGAGCTGCAGCAGCAAAGCCCTCCAGCAGTGGGTGAGGTCTGTCCAACACCGGGTACAGCACCACACACAGCAGCTCCCTCCACGAGGCTTATCGCTGTAGGACCAGAACAGGCAGGAGAGAAAAATGCAGAAGTGATGGATTGTTGGTCGCTCGTTTGCAAAATCAGAGGGGTGTGAAAGAAGTCTAACTGAGGGGCGATCACTGGCTATAGAGAGGTACAGGGTACTCCTTACAGTGCTGTCCAACACCGGGTACAGCACCACACACAGCAGCTCCCTCCACGAGGCTTATCGCTGTAGGACCAGAACAGGCAGGAGAGAAAAATGCAGAAGTGATGGATTGTTGGTCGCTCGTTTGCAAAATCAGAGGGGTGTGAAAGAAGTCTAACTGAGGGGCGATCACTGGCTATAGAGAGGTACAGGGTACTCCTTACAGTGGGAAGGGGCCGGGCAGCACCCAGCAGCCCCCCGCCGCCCTCCCCGCTCTTCGGC